GGGGGGGTTCTGTTTCCATGGCAACAAGCAAACATAAAAGAAAACTTTTTTCCAGTTTGGCTCTCATTTAATGATCTATGTTTCACCTGTATGGTTTAAAAAACTACATCATTGCATTCTACAGGCAAACATACACACCCCTGCCAAATTTGGTGAGAATTGGACAATTCGTTTTCTCAAACGACCTGCCCCTAAATTGCATAACCTCAAAAAACGTAACTTTTTCATCCCCAGATTTTACTAAATTTTTGAATAATGAAATACATTTGAGACATTCTCAGCAGGTAAATGTTATTTAGACCTTAATAAAAAAGTATCTAAATAATGTTCGAGGTGAAAAATTAAAGTCCAAAAGCCCCAGGCTCATATGTTGGCCCCTCCTGCTCCTCATTCCTTTCACTGCGGCTTTTTTGCTGACTGCGACGAATTTGGCGCTGTTATTTTGTTGCCTCTGAGGACTTTTCTGCAGCTGCACAGTCTTTGTTTATCAATGGCTGTAAGACCAGACTTGCAGTACTCTCCAACCGCCAGGTTGAGCCCTCTTAGCATTGTTTGGACTGTTCTAGCACCCCATTGAAGAGGCAAACAGCAATAGCACAAGCTGTCAACACTGTCTCAGGACCAGCAAAGAGTTCTTTCAGACTGAAAGGAATACCGGAATTCAAAAAAGTCGTTTAAATAAAGCTAAATCGGTAAAATAACCACACCGGGAGCAAACAACACACGTATGGAATATGCTAAGCCATTTTTATTGAAAATTTTCACTTTTAAGAGTCATCGTCAGAGAAAACCGGGCAATACCAAAAGATCGAGGTCGGCCGTTTACATCCATCTTTTCACAGTTTAAAAGCTATCCGAAAAGATTAACCACCATGACATTTGCCGAGGTAGGCGTTCGTTTTTCTTCCAGATATCACCCCATCATGATTTTGGCCTCTCAAGCGGTCTAAAATGATCGAAATTTCGGGGAACTTTAGGTGAGCCTAAAAGATACTTCCTACAAATTCCAGAATCTCTTATTTTCGTGAGATAATATTTGTCCCCTTATGAGTTGATTGAGAAAGATTAGAGGTCTTTCGCATTAATTCTACGGTTTTCACGAGGTGCCAAATATCGCCGCCGAATCGTTAATAAGCGTGACCCAAATTTTAGCCATTTTCAGCGAGTCGTTTTTCAAAAGTGCGGCAGTTTATTTCCACAGAAAGACATTTTTGTGATAGTCGTTTGCACTGTTATCAATATCCAGTTTAGTTAAAACTGGTATCTACAGGCAAATCGGAGTAATTGGTCTCGCAAAGTCCAAAAAAAGTCATTGGCCAGAAATATTTCCCGCCAAATTTTTAGCGAAGAATATCACCTTATACCGACTTTCTGCGATTGTTATCCATGATTTACTAAAAGATTTGCAAAAAATAGTTAGCTGGACTGCAGAATAGAATATTTAAGCTGTGACATCGTTATTGACATATGGAAACATTTCAAACTTGCCAAATCCTTAGGCTAAATTTTCCCCCGAAAATTCTATTTTTAACGTCATGCTGCATGGAAAAACAAACTGGATCCTCAGTTCGCTGGTCTCTTTTGCTATTTAGAAGAACAAACTGTAAGTTAATAGTGAGCGAAGCTTTTCCCTGAATCAGTTTAATTTTGGGACTTCGGCAAACCCTTTGTTTATATCGATTTTCTCGTTTTCGGAAGGCGTGACGCGTTACAGATTCAAAGGTCAGATGACAGGACTTCGAGATGTCGATCTCACCTAAAGGTTTTTCCTTGGTTTTGAAAACATTAGCTGTTCTTTCGGATCAAAAAAACTCGCCTAGCATTGCTGGTGGCGAGGCAGTTTTTCTTCAATTATTAGCGTGCAAACGAGATAGTTGAGGAAAGACGTTAGAGGTGGTTTCTATTTGCCGCAACCTAATGTAAACAATGAGGAAATACAGCTCCCTGCTCTCCGGCCCACCCGGCAAAGGATCAAAAAGGTCAAACGACTGGGATAAACATCTCAATACGTGTGATCGTTGCTAGGCCAGTATTGCTAGCGGAAATATTTCTTGCGTTTAATGTTGCCGTTTGTATCGTCGCAGGTTAGTACAGCGTCTTGTTTTCCGCTCTGAAACTTTTACTTTCAACAAAGGTAATATAATGTTGCCTCTGTTAATATTGACCACAAAACCCCTTTAATGCAACGAAATTACATCCAAATTGTTATTGATAATTTCTTGATAATTTTACTGCTGCTGTTGTCAGAGTTTATAAAGAACGAGATCGCAATATGTCTGTGATCCATGAGAACATAAACTGAATTACATTTTGCATGCAACTAAGTTGTTCTGAAGATTAATTGAGATAGTTTTAACGTGGTTCATGAAAAAAAAAAAAAAATCTCGCGGAGGCAAATTCATTTTCATTAACCCTGCCAAAATGCAGTTGTATCTGTGTTAAGGTAAATGGGACGGTAACTCAAGAATATCTACAAAAACAAGATGGTTCAACTGATCTGAATGTCAAAAATAATCGGAATAATGGCTGAATGGATTGTTAAAAAATAAACAATATTTGTCCTGAGGGTAATGTTTTTATCCTTCCTGCCCCATTCAAGGAGGATGCAGAGGTGGAACGAAGTACCATTACAT